GGCGCGTGTCCGATATAATATACTTATTAATTAAAGCAAATATGTGTGAGAGAGTCAGAGAGAGAAAGAAGAAAGAGAAAGAGAGAGAGAGAGAGAGAGAACGAGTGAATGGGGCCAGATTAGATCAACGAATCTTTAACGCGCAATAGTTTAAGCCTACAATGGCGTAGCCAACAGCGATTACTCACATACACACGCTTAAACGGTCGGATTAGCGGAACGTGCAAACTGAAAACTGAGAAAAAAAGAAACAACGTAATAATAATAATAACGAAATAATAAATCGCGAAATAATAAGAAGCGAGTAGATGCCTCGGAAGTGATAAAGAGAATTTAGCAAGCATGATCAATAGAGAACTCGAGATTAATAAGATTAATCAAATAGCGTCGTGCAAAATGTGTTAATTTTAGCGTGACTGTTGATTCGGAGGGGGAGGGAGAGAAAGGATATGAGACGTGTATGCATGGTGATTCAAGAATCAGGAATAGGAAGCAGAAATTAAAAGAAAAGGAAAGAATAAATAAGAGAATAAGAGGCGTATGTTCTATGGTGTGCGCGCGTGCGTGCGTGCGTGCGCTTACGTATGTACGCGCAGGTATATTCATATTTTGTAGCTTTTACTTAGGAGCGCGGTACACGTAAAGCATATAAAGTTAACTATATTTATAGAAATATGTTGACGTGGTTATTATCAACGAAATTATATTGACTTGATAAATAAAACGGCGTGATCGAGTTAATCACGATTGAAACGCGCGCGCCCACACGCACGTGCGAGAGAAGAGAGAGAGAGAGAGAGAGAGAGTTTGGGTCAGTTTCAATCGCAAATAATGCAGAAAGTTGCAAATTGAGAATATACGACCATTACGGTTATTATCCACGGCAATGATAATAACGAGCGAAATTATTATTATTATTATTATTACCGTCATAAAGTTACACGCACACATACACATGAACACTACTCCCACTATTATGATTACTTATTACTTAGCAACGAAAAGTAACTACCAATAAAATATACCTTGCATGATTACGTAGGGCTATACTGCCGCTGAAGCAATACAAAGAGCAATATAGAGTTAAAACAAGCGTAATTAACGGCGTAAAGATACTAAAAGGTAAATTATACTTATACCGATAACGAAAAAAAAAACTTCGTAGATACACACCATCTACATGCATGCGAACACACATACACACGTATGTATTCTCACATACAAAAAAACGGCATACATAAAACACACACAAATATACATACCGACATCATGTATGGTCCTTAACTTATTCTGACCGTAGTGCTAATTATATTTAGCATTTACGTAGGTAACACACATACACATACACACACACACTAATTGCCTAGATCGACCAGCCTGACTGGCATTAATTATTATTGTCGATCGAGACTTCTCTCTCGACGGCGAATAACGTCGGCGCGTTTAGCACGTAGAGAGCGATGATAATAAACATTCCAGACGATTGTATTTCGCCTCTGAGGTAGTGATATAGAGTTATCGTAGAGCGCTAATGTATTTCACTCGGCGTCCGTGACAGCTGGGCTCACGATCTACACGATCTCGCCGCATTATCAAGGATTACTGAGGGTTCTTTTGGTCGATATTGAAGAAGAAATCATAACGAAAAGGTCAACAAAATTTTCAGCAGACAAATTTCTCGATGAATTCGCTATTTTGCGCATAAATTTTGCGTTAAAAAAACTTTTCCTGTAAAAACAAGCTGTATTCATTGCTCTTTAAAATTTCGCAAAAAATTGCAATGATTAATTGATTTAATTAGGCATAATGGTGTTGACCTTTGTGAGCAAAAGTACGAAAATAAATTTAATCAAGAATTATTGTCATGATGGAAGATTCAGCGGAGCGTTTTGAGGCCCTGCTGAGAATACGAAAAAATCGTAATCTTGATTGTCGTTCGTGTAGTACTCGAAGGATTAAATGTTCGACCTCGATTTCTTAAATCCGTAATTTGATTACGGCGAATGAGCGACGGCAAATCGATAGTGGAAGTTATTCTCGCGTTCTGATACCTGGAAGGTTTAAAATTACTCGAGAAAACGCATCTATATATGCGAGAAACGTTGCGTCGAATCGTCAATCCCGCGAATCTTTGATCTCCCTCTCTCTCGGCTTACCCCCCCCCCCCCCGAACGATCATTGAGAGTATAAATCAAAGTAGGTATTGTTAGAACGACGACAAATTCGTGATACCAATAACCATATGAGTGTCGTTGAAATGAAAACGAAGGGTTGCGCCTGTAATTCAATCTCGCTGTTTTTATGTCAAAAAAGCGGAGATATCAAAGAGCGATACGATTCCTGTCGAGGGGATATTTTCGCTCAATCTTCTTCAACAACGTTCTCACGGTCAGTGTTAAATGCGTCCGTCCGGTTTTGGTTTTATCCAACACAAAGATCATCGGTAAAGATCGTCCAAACGCACAGTAGCGTTTAACGCTAATCGTGTTATACGTTATTATTATTTAAGAATCGATTGTGTGATTCGCGTTATTACTTAATTGAGTTACTCGAGAGAGAGAGAGAGAGAGAGATATGCTGATCTTCGTCGATTGACCGAGCTGTTCACGGGCGCCAGATGGAACACGTAGTTTTAGCATGGTGTGAAAATGATAGTGACGCTAGATGAATTAGCTTTAAGCTTCTTTCTCGCTAAGAGAGAACCTATTATTATAACGGATATTTACATACATTTGTATTATTTGTAAACTAGTGCTAATACAAAACTCCAATTGTGCATCGACACGCGAAACAACATACCTCCTCCCTTCATCCTACCCCTTCTTTATAACCCCTTTACCGTTTCGCTCTAACGAGCGCCCTTTTTTGTAAAACTAGTTTCGATTCCTTCGTTCCGAGATCTGTAATCTTGCTCTATAACGTTTCGTCTATATATCTCTCTGTATATCGGGCCTTTTCTCCAATCGAATATGGAAAAAGATTTAAATGAAGAAAAAAAGAGGAAGAGAGGACGAGAAACAAGACCTTACCTATCCCGACATGCTTCTTATAGTGTTGGATGGTAACGTTACAAGACAAAAAGGAAAAAAACGTTAATTGAGCATTGTTATCTATGTAATACAACATAGGATGTTTTGTATTATATTTTCATAATAAATAGAAACGTAGAAAAAAGACGTATTAACCACACTCGTGTTATTTTATCACTCGTTTCGACCTTTCGTTCCTGTGAATCTCCCGACATCATTTGTACAAAAAAGACGTTGAATTACTGAGTGCGAGAAAGAATTCCAGGAGTTTATTTCATCATTAATGATCCGAAAAGTTTGAAAATCTTAACGCGAAGAAATTCGACTAATTTATTATGGACACATTAATTATATAGTCTAGCAAAAATTTGTCGAAAAATCCATTTTTTGTTAAAACTTAAAATACAATTCAGTACTGAGGAAAATTAAGTTATACCCATTCAAGTTTAATTGGTACTAGTATGCAAAAGTTTTTTAATTTTCTTTTATTCACATATAAGTAGTATATAAGTAGTAAGAATTAATCTTCAAAATATTTTCTCTCATTATCTATAACTTTTTGTCATTTTTCCGGCAAGTTTTGTATTTCGTTGTGGAAAAAAAAGACATCGATTTGGAGGCAATGAAATCATCGAGAGAAATGTGCACTATCTTGCCGAAACCAAGATCTTCCAGCGGAACGTTCTCGAGATATTCTGATAAATGGTTCTGAAAAAAAACCGTGTTGATACACTTTAAAAAATGTGGTCCAATAATTGGACCATTAAATATTCCAGCCCAAACATGGAAGTCCGACGATGTCGATTGAGCACTTGTCGGGATCAATGAGGATTTACTGGTGAATAATAATGATGATTGTGTCTATTGAGACATGCAGTGCTTAGGAATGTTGCTTCGAAACATCTGAAATGCTAAATGACTGAATCAATCATGGCGAAAAATTGATGAAAATTTAGTCAATACGATGTCAAATTGATATAATTTTGACTATTCTGTTCTCCTTGGGACAGATTCACTATTAATTGCGCCCATTAAGCGCTACATTCTACCGAACGCTTGATCATATTATTGACTTTGTTCACGTGGCGAATCGTTCCGCAACATTTGAGCGAAAGCCTAAGGAAACTTTGGCGAGATGGAATTGGAGCAACGTAGAGAATTTAGGTGGCACATATATCGGGTTTGATGTTCAGGCACGTATTATTGGCTCGAGAGGCCGCGTGGAAATCTATAGAACCGGTCACGTATCGGCTCTTTCGTTAGAAAGCTTTTATAGCAATTGAGAATAAGTACGCGAACGTGTTCATTCGGTTTTCTTTAAACAAATTCCACTTAAACGCAGAGACGTTAATCACTCGGAAATGCGCCGCATTTGTGTTGAAGAAATAGCTGGACGGCCAAAGACTACATGGCGGTAAGGACACACGCCCGATGGCATCACAAAAGATGTATTCTATTACGTATAAATCTTACGCTCAATCTGAAAATATATGAGACAGAGATGATAGACAGTTTTCTCGAGCAACAGATAAGGGCTTCTCTTGACCTTATTCCTTCCTTATTCCCAAGAATGCGCAAGTCGCACACTCTCGTCGCAGGCGCCACGGAGTTTATCATGGCTGATAAAAATGGTAAATAAGTAGGCATAAATAAATCGCATTGTTTGCGAAATGAAGCGGCGCTGCTCGGTAAGCGCGATAAAGATCATATTGACTACCGGATATAGCGAGACATTGCATTACAAATAAAACCATTGCGATTCGGTAGTTTGGTGACTAAAAATACACCGCGGCATCGCAATTCTTTCGCGAGATATGATGCAACATTCTCGCCGCACATTTAGCGCGAAACGTTCATATCGAATGTAGATCCGGCGGGGGGGGATTCAGCTTGGTTGATTAAAAGGAACAGGATTTTTCTTCACGAGAACTGAATTAGGTTCATGAAAAGTAAAAATTCTGTTTCTTTCAAATGCATTTGGTTTGTTGGGCAACCAAACTGTTTTTTTCGACATATATTTTTATGACCGGATACACACAAGTTGTCACGTAAATTAGCGAACATTTCTCCGCCCTGTATTCGACACAACGATTGAATATATCGGAGCGAAATTAATCATTCGGATAAACTCGTGACATGAGGATAACGTTTAAAGTACCTATCGGGCGAAACGCTCGTTCGTTAAGTCGAGCGCAGTCTTTCGTATTTTATGCTTCTTCGAATGAGTGGCAACGATTGGCAGCAGTCGGATTACTCTGGGAAATATTTACACTAGACGAGAAAGTGTACAAAGTAGGGCAGTGCGCGTCGACAATCGTCGTTTATAAATCACTGCGGCATTGAACCAATTCCGAGTGCTATTTTCATCGGATTTTGGACGTTTTTCACGAACAATAGAAACGGGATCGCCTGCATAGATATAAATAATACGGTGCAGTCAGGCGGCCAGTCTCCAATGGGAATTTCTAGGGAAGGCGTCAAATCGATCAGCGAGGAGGATCTGGTACGTAATGGAACGTAGAAAAATTCGGAGGCTCCAAAAATGCACTTGTAGAAAATATCGGTTGAGCGATATAGCATTCTCCTTGTATGGGTGAGAAGAATGGCGTGAATATTTGCTCTCTCCCTTGGTAAGGAGCGATCTCCTGATTCGAAACTCTGTCAATTATTATCACAAGCTGAAAGTTAGTTGTGATCACAAAGCTGAATCTGAGGCCCTAAATCTGAGATGTGAACACAAGTGCGTACATAGATTACCTCTTTATATTTCGCGGAATATTTACCGTTTGCATTATTTCAATTACTGAGCAAAACTGTCGTTTGCCCTTCCAAACATCGAAATGAATTTGTGTACGCCATCCTCGAGCAAGAATTTCGCTCGACTTAACGCCGTAATTTATTCGTTTATATGAAAATTTGAAAAAAAAACGTTAATTAAGGCGAATAATTAAAATTTCTCGGAAACTAAATATTTCTGCAACTTTGCAACTATATTCAGCTAGTACTACGTAAAATTTTATTAAAATTAGAGGTAGGTAATTTATTAAAGTCTTACCGCCACTGACTATGACAATACGTGCATAAATGTTATAATTTAGACTGTAACATATTCTCTTAAAAATGCCTACTATAATAATAGATTGTAACATCCTATTGTAACATCCTTTTGTAATGTCTTGAAAACGTCTTCTGGTAACATCTCAAAGGCGTCTTACTTAAGACGTCTTTGGAAAACGTCTTTCTTGCATATCTTTTTCAATGAGCAATGAATTATACGGAAAAGAACTCAATTCTTGGAATTATATAATGGGGGCCAGACAGATGAAAACTTTGTGAAATAACACCTCTGTTCCCACTGAACACATTCGTGTGGACATTCAGCTGCATTAAAAATTCGGTCAAGACAACCGATTGATTAAATAGGAACCACACAGAAATCTGCCCTACAATCGATACATTTTTCGTTCCCAGCCAATGAAGAATTACATCAACGAAATTGTCTTTCCTATGCGTAACGTTTCCCAATCCTGGCTTTCGCTTTCCCGGTTTGTAAGTATTCTGAAGTGAATGCGAATTTATCTTTTCTTCTTGCAGCTGAGATGCGGCACCGCGAGCAGAAGAGGTATGTTTCACTCGATATTTCACCATGACATAGATGCCGAGGAAATTAACTCCTTGATTAATTACGGTGACTTATCACGCGGTCGATGCACCCGACTGGAAAAGGGAAGGGAAAAACACGCTCGTTGAGCACGTACCTTGAGCGCGAGATTTTGCAACTGTGTGCAGACGAAAAATCCTCCCAATGAAATCGCGTCCCCGGAACCTCGCCTCTAGTTGCAATTGTTCGTGTCTCAAGATCAAGAGAAATCTGTTCGATATATTCGTCGTCCTCGTATGAGGGAGCACGCAGCTCCGATTTGTCGCAGCGATCGCTGACGAGATTTCCTTGGAGATACACCGATGACATGTGAGTCAAATTTTGCTGACGGGCGGCAAGTGACGTGATTCGGTAAACCGGTGTTTTCGATCTGTGTTTTATCTATTAAGCGTGTCGTAATACGACCTTGCTGAGAACACGAGGAGATTCGGCTGTTAGTGCAGACAGTCGGTGAAACGAATCATTGGAGCGATAACGTACGAAATATATCGTGCTCCTCGGTACGGTATTTTCCTGTATGTTTCTTCGAGCAATTTCTCTTGGTGTTGCAATGATTTCCCTTCTCCTTTTTGGCATCTTTCTCGGAAGGGAGAAGGAGAAAGAAAGAAAGAAATTAAGTGACTTGACCGCGTGACGTTCCATTGATACTTTCGTCAATCGAGTTTGAACATTTTATTTTTGAATAACTCGCTCGAATAAATAAAGGATTCGCTAATTCGCACAATCCCGTATTTTTCTAAAATGTGTGATATTTATGGCATAACCCGAAAACCAATTTCATATATCTGTATATTGGAATAAAAACCGCAGAAGTATAGCGGAAGAGTCAGCAGAAGGCTTGAAAATCGAGACCGCCCATCCAGTGTGTGAACTTTATCATGTGAATATTGTTTGTTTGTGGATAAATGCCGCTTAAATAAATTCATTAGATACGAATGCGCTAATTATATTATAGCGTCAACTCATCCATTAATTATGTTTATTTAATCTCGAGCGAGTAAACTCGTCGAATACGACGAGAATTCATATGTTGCTTTGGTGACTTCGTTAGAAAAGACGGCAGTGAATGTTGACGATTGATAACGACTGGTACGACGTCGACGACTACGACGATAACTGCAGCCGAGTATAAACGACAAACGTAATTTTAATTCGTTCCCTGCTGTGATGCATAATATAGTTTTCGTTCTCAACATAATCCTCTAAAACTGACTTTTTTTCCTTCTAGAAGAATGACGCGACAGAAAAAGTTCCTCAAAATTTTCGCGCTACTTTGATACTCTTAAAGATAGTTTACGCGCAGTTAGATGACTAATAAGCTTGTTTTGACTGTTCTCTCGTATCTGAAATTCTACTCTAATTTTAATTCTAATGCTTCTATCAAACAACTTGACGCTAAAACAGTGAAAAGGGATGTTTAAGATTTATCGTCAAGGTAGGAGTGAATTATATTGAAACCATTTTGTGCTGTCTTAGCTCCTATTCTGTTGTATAATTAAATGCTTTACATAAGGTTAAACACTTTGACTCGAGATATGTTTTTATTCATTTCCACGCTGCTTGTTTCAACTTTCGATCTACCGAATACATCTCTGCGATTTTATATTTAGACTTGAAAAAAGTATGGATGTATGTAATCTCAAAATTGTACGGCCTGATAAAGGATAATTCCGCGCCGATGTGATTCTTTCAAATGAAAGCATTCGTTTAATTTTTACACGCATTACTTCACTCTCTTGACAATAATGATTTTTATGAATCTTATATATAACGATAATTTTCGTAATTTTGCGCGTATTATCACTTATCTACCGCTTCAAAAAGTATAACTCTATAAAAAGGAAAAAAATGCGATTTAAGGAAACTTTGAGTTCTCGAAATTTTGATGCTACCGTGACGCCTTAAGGATAAAATCTTCACGCTACAGATTTCATTTCAATGCTACAAAATGTTTTGACGCCGAAATAGCACAAACGGGAATTCAAGACATTTTCTCTTAAAATAAATCGGTGTAAATAATGTTTCTAATTGAATCAGTAGAATATATTTCACCGATATCAGTGAATATTTGCAATAAAAATACACTCCTATTTAGGTTCTTCTACATATTGAAAAATGGTTAATGGACAACCGAACGCGTTTTGGTTGAAGGAAATACAATTTCTAGTACGACCAGAAATTCAACCAAAATGCGTTCGGTTGTCAAGTAGATACCAACTCGTAGATCCTTCTATCTCATACTTTATTGATTTTGGCTAGTTAAGATTTCACCGCACAATCTCGGATATTCCTATCATTAATTACATTCTTTCAACGAGATACTTTTTACCGATTGCACTGCCGATTTCACGCAATGATAATACACTGCACACCATTTTGCGGAATTGGTCAAAGTTATAAATTACAATTATTGGAATTGTACACTTATCTTGCTAGTTTAGCTTCTACTGCGTTGTCAACGGTTCAGAATAGAGTTCGGGACGTTGTTACACCTGCGAAGAAAGTGACGCTTAAGAAAGCTCGATACAATTGAGTTGTTGTTAACTATTCCTTCCAACAATTTTCTTTCGAAGAGAGCCCATCACGTCACTCGGTGTATATTGGGCGATGCGACTTTAGAGTTGAAATTTTTTACGCGAGCACAAAGCGCGACACGAATCGATTGACACGAAGCGCGCAGAGGGAAAGACTCTCAGCGCGAGTACACATTAAACTCGTTCGTTATCATTGACACCAATATAACGGATTGCGATAGCGTCGGCAATGCATCTGTTTTCGGGCCATTTGTTTCGTCGCGATATTGGTTCGAGGGGAATAACATGCCGCATAACGAAACTTTGAATTCGTTATGTATCCGTTACGCGAGCATCCACGCGAGATAGCGCACGTGTGTATCGCGGGAAAGAGCATTGCGCGTTCGTTTATCGCCGCGTGCGGTTCGCGCGCGTTCAATTGATTATCGAGCCGCGAACACAGTGAAATTCGACCAACTGGATGGTCCCTAATGCGTTTTCTCGTCCTCGCGAAGCTGTCTTTCTTCCCGGCTATAGATAATCATATATTAACGGTAAGTTTACGATAAATAAAAGTGCACATCTGTGAGAGTTACACTCATTTGAGAGAAAGTTCTTCGTCGCGTTGATTTCACGATATTCAAAGAGCGTTGCGTTCCGAAAGTTTTCACAGAAACTAATGTGGCAACACATGACAATTGTTGCGGTCTTCTTTGCTTCCCTGATCGGTCAATTAACCCCACCTTCGCAGTACATTAATCCGCAATTTCGCATCTGCCGACGACGTAACGGTGATTGGCTCATGAGATCTCCTTATATCTCGCATGAAACCCAATTAGCGACGTGCGACCGAACTCCAATAAAGAGTTGATGGTGTCGCAGATATTGTCCCTGAACGCATATTGTCCCCGAAAAAATATTTAATCGCAATTAGTAGCGTCGTCGACTTAGTTATCTCAGCTCCTCTTAGTCCGAGGAAGCCCGCTTATCATACCGTGGGCAGACGTCGTCGCGAATAATCGTTCCGAGGTACCTCTTGCAGTTCTTCTCGGACGCAATGTCCACAGGTAGTTTGCAACACCATTTCGTATCGGCGCGATTGTTATCAATTAGGACGCCGCGAATCAATCACAAACACTCGGTCGTAGCGAATTCATTATGACGCGGTGACATATTATAATTAAAAGTTGGTTGGTAGACAGCTGTTCATGTTGCTACTTGACGGCAAAATATGTCTTTCAAGAGAGATTGCGAATTCTTACGGACAGTAGATTCTACGTGATGCAAAAATTTATCGTATCATACATATCGATCAAAACATAACATATCGCGTCGGATTTTTATCGTCATTAATATTCACGTTTCTTTTCATAAACGATATCCCGAACGGACGGTTTAATTCTCTCCCCCGAAAACGTGCCGCAAATGTTTACCGACGTAACGCGATCGAATCAAACGGTATCGTTTACTCGATCAATTTCTGGAAACTTGAGCAAATCCCCCATCGATACTCACTCTGACTTATATCGGGCAAATGAACGAGATTTGTTTATATCAATCTTAACCACTCTCAACTTGTTTGATTAAAGTCCTCAAGTCGAAACTTTTGCTTTAAATGTTGAATGTTTCTAGAAGAGGAGCCAAGATAGCAAAACAGATTGACTTAAATTTCAAAATAGTTATCACTTTATAGCTAAATCTGTAGAATAAAGGTGCAACATTCGTCAAAGTAAATTTCGACAGGTCGCTCGGTTTATCTTTTGCGTGTGGAACTTTTTCGTTAATTATGTACGTACGAGTCGTCAATTAAGACGCGTCGATGAATTTCGCGTCTGACTCGACACGCTTATATCACACACGACGCGCAAATACAGGTATTTTTCGTTCGATAGAGCAGGCCAGCTGGCTCGATGATAAACGAAAGACGACGATCAATTAACTCGCGTGACCGAAAATACATGGCGGCGCGCGCAATCTTACACACCGATCTTCATCCGATTCTTACTCGTTCGCAGACTACTTGAGCGACGACATGTCGACAAATGGCCCGGAATTGACGGTTAGGCGCCCAGTCTACCAGCAGGACGAGCTTAACCACTTGTACAAATACGTGAAGCCCAAGAGGATCCGTAAGTATTTTTGTGCTCGACGGATTTGTGCGCTTTACCTTTCACCGGGCCTTTTACCTGCGCGTTCACCGCGCGGGAAACCGCTCTACCCCGCTACAACGAAACGTCGACCACTACGTTACAAGCAGAACCGGTCGAAACTGGTAAATTGATCGGGAGAGATCGGAATAGAATTCTTAGATGAAGGTCGTCCTCTTTTCAGAACGCGAATTGAAGATGTCAACCTGCGCTGTAATTTTTTCAATAATAAATTGGCCCGAAAATTGTATTGTTTCATACGCTGCATGTTAAACAATACATGCTTCCTTTATATGCTCAATATAATCTCTGCAGTTAGTAAGGAGGTGTCAAGGAGATGCAGGAGAATCAGGCCGATCTCGCTTTTGAAGAAGTCCATACCTCTAATCGACTGGATCTCTTTGTACGACTGGAGGAGCAATATCTTGGGAGATGTTGTTGCCGGCATTACCGTGGCTGTGATGCATATTCCTCAAGGTATATCGTTCTGATTCAATTTCCTTTATTACCTAACCCCTTCGGGTTATATAATGTGAGATTCAAAATAAGAAGTTTGGCGTTCTTTTTCTCTCAGCTGTAGCTACCGGTCATTTATGTTGTTAAGATTTTTAATTTAGTATTTCCGTTCTATCACCAATCAACAAATCGTTTAACAATTTTTGATTGACTGAGTTTCGCCTACACCCAGCATTTTTTCGCTGTTTTTGCGCCGTACGCGGGAAAGAAATTAGTTGAAACAATAAGAAATATCGTTGATTTAATGAAACGTCACGGAATATCTTCTAAGTTAGGAGTTATATTACAATCACGGGAATTGGAAGTATGATTGAAATAATATGAAGCAATATTGTTTCACGAAGGAAACGTTATGGATAATTGGATGCCGCAACAATATATTAATATTATTTTTCGCCTATTCATAGATAAAGATTGCAAGAAATCATAATGCTAAAGGAGAGACCGCCCGTGTGGTTTTTCCTTGTTAATACAGTAAGCTGTTTACACACGCGAGACGAAAAATTCCTCTCTGGAACTGACTTAAAAGACCCGGAGTGCCGCACGAATTCATTCACTATAAATCTTTCCGATCTTTGCCGAAATGCTGCGTACCCAGGCGCGAGCAAAGTTTACCGCGAGCGAGACAGTCGCATCGAGCGCCAGAGTTCGTCTCATTTACTTATGCGTAAAATTCAATGAATGATTTCGAAAACAGTTGTTTTCAGGCCAAAAAAGTACAACTGACAACATATTTTCTTAAATTGACCGTAGTATTAATTCAATAATATACTAACTAAGATATCGACTTTATAATATGTAATTGAAATAAGCAATTATTAGGCGTACAAATAAGTTCAGTGTCTTTTTTACATGAATTTGACATTTATGTACAAAAAAAAAGAAGAAACGAATTAAGCTGGTTTTGTTCTGTACGAGTTACTATCTATATTTATGCAAACTATTGTTATGCCAGTTTAACTATAAAATCTCCATCGCGAGTTAAATCCTTTTTATAGAGAAGCGACGTTTAGGCTAACGAACAATGGATGGACATTTTTCTCGCAGGTATGGCGTATGCGATTTTGGGCAATGTACCGCCGATTGTCGGTATGTACATGGCTTTCTTCCCGGTGTTGGTGTATTTCTTGTTCGGCACGTCCAGACATAACTCAATGGGTAAGTCTCCACCGTTCGTTCGAATTGAGTCAAATCATCAACAATTTACGACCAGCAGATATTTATTTTCTCCAAATATTTATGAAAATAGAGCCATCTATTAGAGTTAGAGAACAGAGGGAATTATATTAAAAATTGTCGTTTAAATTTGCCCGAAACTTTATTCGCCTTTGTTAATTCGATTCGAGCAAGTAATTGCAACAGAATCGTTGCTTCTCTGTTAATTAAGGCACGTTCGCGCTCGTGTGTATGATGACCGGAAAAGTAGTTACCACATACAGTTCTGCAGCGGTTCCGATAAATAACACGATAGTTGGGAATGGTACTTTAATTTCCAACATAAGCCATCAATATTCACCGATAGATGTTGCGACCGCAGTCACATTCACGGTTGCCGCCATACAGGTAACTACAGGATCTAAAATAAAAGAAAACTCCGCTGAATGTATTTTCTTAGAGATGGTTTTAATAAGAAAAGTTTCCATTGAAATTCTTCTGAATTTCCGTTTCTTACAATATTTCACTTTATAGTTTTTACATTTAGAATTTTAACCTTCATTTCAATAGAAATAATTTTTAATCGTCTTAAAGTAGAGAAAAAAAGATCCAAATCCTGCGTGTCAATATTTGAACAAAATATATTTATTTATTTAATTATTTATTTCCTCTACAAGAGTTGCTCGAAATGTCTTGTTCCAAACAAAGTCTTGTTCCTTGTTGAAAATTAGAATTGGAGTTGTTTGTAAAACGTTTCTAGAAATATTCCTGCATGTATCTACGATATGTTCCTGCATATTTTGTGCGACCGCTGACAAACAATGTCTTTGAAAAGTCCGCAGAGAAGAAAAAGTCGGTGACGTTAAACCTGGCCATGAGATTCCGAACCAACGAAAAATATGTTTTAGATGTGTACTTGTTGGTGTCCCGTCGTGTTGAATTTTTACGCCTGTCGTTCGAACTGACATCCTCAAGCATCGGCATCGGCAATTTGTTTGTAATAAACTCGAGATATTTCTGTCCAATTAATGTGCTATCAATAAGTCGTTCGTTAAAAACATTTGCAGCAATGTTGATTGGTCCAAGAGGAAGACACTTTCAGCGTAATCGTCCCAGTAGGTCCGTATTATAGCAATACGGGGTGCCGCGTTAATAAATCTCGAGTTTGGGTGGAGATACACCTCAATGTATGGGGCCGGTAGGTTATTCGTCTCGCTGCCGTTCGATATTTTCCAGACGATTCCTGTTGGGAACAAAACTTCCTGGGCGGCAGTGTACCCTCGCAATTCCAGTTTTCGCGATTGTAGGCGGTCGATCGATTTGTCGACTATTTCTTTTATTCGCATTTCCTTCTCTCAACATCTTGCGACTGAAAATCTCTGGTCCAGTTAGGAATGTACGTGCTGCGTTTGGGCGTGATCTCGTCTCTCCTCGCAGACAGCCTCGTAAGCGGATTCACGACTGCAGCGGCGATACATGTATTTACATCGCAAATAAAGGACCTCCTTGGGCTGAACAAACTGCTGCGGCGCGGAGGTGCATTCAAGCTCATTCTCGTAAGTGTGAAACCAAGTTTTGTTTGGCGCCGCAAACAATAGTTATGTATCTCTCCTTACTTGGGGCACCTTCTCTCTGACTACTGAGTCTTTTTTCTCTTTTATTTTGTCATCAAACAAAAAACATTTGCAGCTGCCAAATATTTGGATAGTAAACACTTTCTGTAAACATTCCGGGATAAGCAAGCTATAATTTATAAACGCCACGAGATTGTTACGTAACGCGTATTCTTTTGATGTTGTGCAAAGGAAGCTTTCGAAAAAACGTTACTGAAAAAGTTAAATACACAATTCTAATATAAATTAGATATACGACTCTTACTTTTCATAATTTTCTTCATATGTATTATTTCTTCGTTTCTTATCAGATTTATTTATGTCGCTTTATTGTTTCTTTCAGACTTATGTAGACGTTTTTAACAATTTGGACAGTGCCAATATAACCGCCGTAATATTGTCCGGTATCACTATCTTAGTACTTATTTTCAACAATGAGATTCTCAAGGTCGGTTGATAATGAACTTAACATACGCTTGATACAGAACGCGTATATATATAAGCGTGCATATATATGATTTACGAAAACAATTGTTTACTATTTCTGAGAAGAAACAATATTGGTTTCAGCCGAAGATAGCAAAGCTGTGTTCCTTTCCGGTACCGATAGAAATGCTTGCGGTAATAATCGGTACTTTAGTATCGATGCAAATGAATCTTGCGGATACGTACAACGTGCTAACGGTCGGCGACATACCAGTGGGGTAAATGTATTTTGTACAAAGTAATATATATATATATATATATGATTTAATAAAAATTTCAATAAGATAATTTAAAGAATCGGAAATGAGTCGATATTTTCATTCGGTCTTTGATTACAAGTAACGCGTTATTTCCCAATTTTAGCCACAACTTAATTTACAAGTTACATGATCTCTCCCTTCATTTAGCTATTAAATTATTGATACTCATGGAAGGATTTCTTTGCAAAGCTGTAGCGAGCTGTGGAAATAAAACACCGAACTAAACTTGAAATTGCATTGTAATGTCAAAGTTTTCAGATTGCCAGTTCCGTCGTTGCCGCCGTTATCTCTTATACCCGACATTCTGGTAGACGGTTTCGTAATTACCATGGTCGCTTATACAATATCGATGTCGATGGCATTGATTTTCGCGCAGAAGATGGGCTACGAGGTCGATTCAAATCAGGAATTGCTGGCGCAGGTAAATTTGAATTTTCCATGATATTTTTTTGGCCACGTAAGAAGACGTTGAAAAATCTTCGATCGTGTAATCTCGGAGAAGATATTTTTTTCTTTTTCAAATCAGCAAGATTGTAGCTACATTTGCGGCAATGTTTTCTTGCAACTTTGCTGTGAGACATTGAAGCAAAATATCCGTTTGCAGGAATATTGTGATGCAACATTGCAATATAACATATAATACATACAAGGTGAACACATTAGAAATATCTCTATTATTCTAGGTAATACGAGAAAATATCTAAGTTATTTTCGGGAAAGGACAAGTGAAATTTTCGTGATGGAAAACGACACCCTTCCGATTGACTGAATTCCTTGTCAACTTCTGCTTTTAATTGGTCCAGTTGCGAACAGCATTTGTACGAATTGATGGATTGGTTGTTCGGTAGTATAGCTATGTAATGCACGATTTCCTTCCAATTCCGCCAAATGGAGAGCATGAATTTCTTCGAATGCAAATCAGGCTTCGAAGTAATTAATGATGGTTCGCTTTCGCTCAGTGTTATCATTATTAAACCATTTCTCGTCACCTGTTACAATTTGTTTGAAAAATGGGCGCGTTTGCATATCGCGAATGGAAATGCGATCCATGAGATTTTTTTCAGTCAAATTGCGCATCGAGCTTATTTACCATTCCAAGTTTGCTTTCGAAACGGTTGATTTGCCAATCAGAAGTGATTGAAGCCGTTATTTGGTCGACACGGCCGGCGAGAGCGAGAGTAGCATATTCGATGATAAATAATATACCTATTGTCTCCTTCGAAAATAGATGATTGTATTGTCTCCTATTTGTAAGAACGAAATACGGTATATTTACAGGGCCTAGGAAACCTAGTGGGCTCCTTCTTCTCTTGTATGCCCATCACGGCTTCTTTATCTAGGTCGTTGATTCAGCAAACTGTGGGCGGACACACGCAGCTAGCGAGTTTGATATCGTGTGGAATCTTGGTTAGCGTATTATTGTGGATCGGTCCATTCTTTCAACCTTTACCGCGGGTAATTATTCTTCTCTGCATATAATTTTTAATTTCGAAATATATTACTAAATATATATTACGTATCGAGCGATAGTATTGCTCACATTAAAGAGAAAAGAAGGTAGTAAACAACTCTCATCTTGCGAATCTGTGAATAAAGAAAGCGGCCAAGTACTTATAGGCACCAATTTTTCTGGATAAAAGTTTTGAATACAATTTTGATAAAATAAAATAAAATTTACGACGTTGTAGAAAGTCCCACAGTCGACGAAACTACCGTTCCAGAGAATTGGCCCATTTAAAATTCAGAAAATTCAGACAGCGTCAGTGATTCTATAACAGCAACCGACCGATGATCAACGCTACGCAACTTTATATCACTTAAGTCTCCTTAATCTTGGCAGCGAGTAGTTTCATTATTTGTTGAAATAATGGCGCCACTTAATAAGAGTGAAATTTTAAATAGATAATTTTCTTTAGAACGGTTGTTCCGCCCAGCTTCTTAGGTGGAACAAGTTTTTAAAAGAACTCTTAAAGACGTCTGAAGGATGTCTAAAGAAGATGGAACGCCTTTTAGATGACTTTAAGGCATCTCTTAGACATTTATTCTGTCTGGGTTAAGACATTTACACGTCACAAGAGCATTATTTTAAGTCAAGGTTAGATTCAAAACCATTTTGAGCGGGAAAATTTGGACGGGATTTGGCCGCATTCTCTCTCTCTCTCTTTCTCTCTCTATATATATATATATATATATATTTTTTTTTTTTATATTATTATTATTATATATATGTATATAATTATGGTGTGTATACGATGTCAATCGGGAATTGTAGTGTGTTCTAGCGAGTATAATCGTGGTTGCGCTGAAAGGGATGCTGATGAAGGTTACCGACTTCATGAAATTCTGGAAATTAGATAAAACAGACGCCGGAATTTGGGTCGTCACTTTTGTAACCGTAATACTCTTCGACGTGGAATACGGATTACTGGTCGGCGTGCTTTTCTGTATAGGAAGGTTACTCGTTCTGGCAGTGCGACCTTATACATGCAAACTCGCTCTTGTACCCGACACCGAGCTTTACTTGGACGCCAAAAGATACAAAGGGGTATGTAACAACCCAAGTTTCTCTTGTTTTACCTTAATTTTACCTTTAATTAATGGCACGTGCAAATCCCGCCACCTAATCGAGAAATAGTTTGTTTATTTAATTTAAATATATCAATTTAATTAAATAATTATTATTAAATCTTTGCAGACAATAGAGATTCCTGGCATTAAGATTTTCCGCTATTCTGGCAGCTTAAATTTTGCGTGTAGACAATACTTTCGCGAGGAAATATATAAGATTGCGGAGTTAGTGCCTCAGAAAGAACTACACAGACGACTGAAAGCCGTGAGCACTGGTTCCACTGAAGTGGAAGAAATTAAAAAGGTAAGCATGGGTTAATGTTGGAAAATATTCCACATCCTCCACCTATTCAATTGGCATGATTAAACATTTATTTGATTAGCCTCCTCGAATTTGTTTATTGCTTGCCTTGCTTTTTTAGTATTTCTATTTATATCTCGTAGCTACGCGTCCTCATATTGGACTTCACTGCATTGTCGCACGTCGACCTGGCAGGAGCGAATGCAATGCGAAGTATTGTCGAGGAATATTGCAGCATCGAAGTATCTGTTTACATAGCAGGTTGTTCCGGTAAGAATGTCAATATTGATATTCGATATAAATTACACTGAGTAAAAACTTACTAATAGAAACAAAACTTATCCTTGAGTAAACTGTCTGTTTGTCCACAACTGTGAACGCTAAAATAAATATTTTCTTGCTTCAAGAAAATGATTTTCTATTAAGCAAATTATTTATTGAAGAAATATTTTCTACAATACAGTCAATATTTATTGAGATATCAAAAAAAATTTACTACCAAGTAGCACATTTTCTCTTCTTTTTAATCACTTTCCATATTTATTTATTTTTTTCCTATTGTTTAGTCCTATTTTTAGATTATTCTCTTATTATCAATGATTGACTTGAAATGACCTTCTCATGTCATGTTTAAACGATTCCACTTATATTGATTATATTTGAAAAATTCGCTGAACGATTCCGAACTCAGGAATTCGGGGTCGGTTATATCTCGTACTATTTCGCTTCTTAACTGATAAATTATCATTTCTTACTGTCTATATTCCAGATAGTATTATTCAAGTGTTCCTAAAGCTTTTTTCTCTTTTCCTGAATTGTACGTTTTTAGAAATTTATAAAAGAATATTATAAGCATGTTCCAGGAAGTTACATGATTGAAATTCCTGAAATCTTCTTGAAATATTCATATAGAATTATTTCACATCAACAGATGTATGTTTTGTGAATTCAAGAGTAACAGTATTTGCGAACAGAAAGAGGAATACAAAATAAACACTAACTTTGAAACATCAAAATTATAATTTATTTTAAAAATATTAGGTGTACAACATTAAAATTTACACACACACACACACACACACACACACACACACACAAATATGCATATATGTATGTATAAACACACATATATATATATATATATGTGTTTATACATACATATTTATTTAATATAATTTTAGCAAAGACATTTATCGAATACATATATTAAAATTTAGAAATAATTTTTTCTCAGTCGGCAATACTTTTGCACATCTACATGAGAACCGATTTATTCGTCTATTTCTAGATTTTTAGATCAATTTTAATGTGTACCGACTGTACGATCATTTGTAGGTCCCGTGTACGAGACAATGAGAAAATGCAATCTAACCCACGAGTACAATGACAGCCCTTTCTTCGCTATGTTTCCCACCGTAGCCGACGCGGTGCATTTCGCGCGATCTCATAGCGAAGTGCCGTCGACACCTACTGCATGGAGCACTCGCGTCTACGACGAAAACTGTATTAGCAGACTATGAGCATTGCGAAAATGTTGGTAAAATAGCATTTTTTGCGTGCAACTGAACTGCGTTTTGTCGAACGTATCGTCGCACAATGGACTGAAATATTAAAACCAGCGAACGTTAAGTAAAAAATAAAATCGTGATGTTTTTAGAAAAATGTAGAAAATCGAAGCCCTCTGAATCGATATTTTTATCGATATTCCTTGGTTATTATTACTCAATAATTTCATAATTCTAAAATTGCTGAAATGAATATTGGTTTATGTTGCGATGGTTCATTAAAGTTCTTATCTACAAATATAATCATAGCCGATTATACATATGTTCAACTCATTGACAAGCGACCACGGTTAGAGATAAGAGGCGAATAATCATGTAGACCAACATAGGTAAATTAGCAGTCTTGAAATTGTTGATATTCAGGTAATTAAAGAGAGAGACGTCGATAAAAATGTCATAATCGATTTAAAAGGCATCAGCTTGATCATACATTGCAATATATTTTTATAGTTTTACTATAAAAATACAGAGTGACCATTGGGTCTACGGTAAATGGTTATTACCGGCGCATATTTGTTTACGATAAGTATTCTGACGTGAGAAGCAAGGACGACTTAATAAAGCACCTCGTGAGAGGCAAGGGGATTCGCATAAAACAAGCACCTCGACGAGAGACAAGGGGAACTCACGTTAATAAAGCACCCCGTTGTGAGAGGCAAGGGAAAATGAATTCGACGCATGCGTGATATTGTTGAGCAATTTTATCTTCTCCTGCTTATAAAAATATAAAGATTTAATTTTCATGTTTGTTTATTCTTTTATAGTTAAAAAAAATTACAAGTTCCATTAGGCACATTTTTTACCATCCTGTCTCCTTCTTTTAAATACACCATCTTTCCCCATAGCTTGCTCGTGATTTCTTTTCTGTGAGAATTTTGAACATATAATTTTATCATCATATGAGTCTTTATTTTGAAGAGTTCCCGTTATATTCACTTGGTTATCTGTTAAATTCATTTCGCTGAAATTAAACGGCTTCAAATCTTCAGATATAACTTTTTCATGTGATTCGTAGACTTTTCCCTTTGATACTTGTTTATCTTTTTGCTTACTTTTCTTCTTCTCCCGTATACCATTACTAAAAAATGAAGTCTCTTCTTTTGAATTATTTTTTTTTCTTTTTTGCAATCTCGCATTACTTTCTTTGCCTTTATTACATATGGCGGTATTAATTGAGTAATTCATCTCGGTACTGTCTTTTACGGATGATCTGGTAACACACATATAAAATCATCTCAAATTGATATTCTTATTAATAACTTCTCAAAATTAGATTATATTCGTAATACTTACGAATTAAGTCCTATTTGCATTTCAAGTTTCTTATATGCGCTTTTTACATCTTTGGGAAGAATATTTTGTCTTGTATACATTGCTAATATGGTTTTCATTTTTGGCCAATCCCATGCTTGTGGCACGTGAGAGGTATAAGTAGCACGTAATAATGTGAGAAGAAGACCAATAAATTTTTGTTGTACTTTTTTCTGCACATCAGTAACATTGCACGAGAAAGATTGGCTATTATCATTTGCACGTAGATTACATAACTCTTTGAACGTGCATATAATATTATTGTAAAGTTTCATTTCTATTTCTATTTTCACGTGTTCATATTTTGTATTCATACGTTGCAACCGATTATTATTATAGAAAATTAACAACAATTCAAGTGCCTGACTTCTGCGAAAATATCGGATACTGTTGTCAAAAGCAAAGTCCACCTAAAGAATCACAAATAATATGGTATAACTGATAGAAAAATAAATATCATATAAATAAATATCATATCGATAAAATGAATACTTGTAATGAACATATATAAAGGATTGTCACAGGGTGAGGAAAAAATAGCAAGAGGATGATCCAGGATGAAGCATCAGAAAGTGGATAAAATTATAGTGTTTTCAAAAGGCCTCGAGAAAGACTACAAGAATATACAATAAAAAATAGGGGATTTCGTTAATAATTAAAAAAAAAAAAACTTCAAGGTGATCTTGCCCTGATCTTGGCGAGGCTACCTAAGCTGTCAAGCTGTAGTAAGATCAGTAAGTAGATTTCTTATGCTCAACAACTTTTATCTGAAACCTGCTTTTTTTTTTTAAGAAAATGTAAATTTTCATTTCGGAGTTCGGATCTTTTTTTTTATACACATCCTGTATACGACGCGGTATGTATAAAGCCGAATATATTGAAAGAAGGCACGACGAAATTAGCTAAAGTACCAAAACTTTCCCCTTGATACTCCCTTTGTAAAATGTCGAAATATCTCGTCCAAATATTCATATATCGATATTATAAATTATATTTGTCTTAATATACATACCAGTGCAGATGCCAGCTGCCAATTACCTTTCCAACAAAGCTGTAATACACCCTTAAATAACATAAATGGAAGGACGCAGTCTCTTTTCTTAAAAAATGCAGTTAAGTTTTCCACATAAATTCCAACAACGCCCTCAATTGATAAATCAGCTTGTTGCATATATCTTACAAGAAAGGTACAACACTCTGCTAATTTATCACTTATTTCTTGATAGACTGAAGCAGAACGTTCTCCTTTTTCGATTAGAACCTTGAAGAAATATACGTTACTTATCGAACAAATGTGCATTAAATTGATACAAATAATTACCTTTAACACTGTCGTTAATAAATTATCATCAATATGTGTTATATCGTTAAACTTCTTTACCGTTGCCAATTTTTTCAAGCAAGAACGAACTCTATGTTCCAGAGGTTTCTGATGCGGATCTTTTATACAGAACTCTAATAAGGAAAAAAGTGGCACAATCATGTCTACAATAATTGCCATAGATGGACAAGTATCTAAATAGATATCCAACAAATCTATGACACGGACTCTAAAATGTGTCAAAGCTTGATCTGTTTTTTCTTGCTTTTTATTGCGAATCTGACGGTTTACTCGTAAAATTTTGAAAGCCGCTGCCAAAGATTTATCTAATTTCTTGGCTTCGTCGTCATTCATTTGGTCTACATCAATATCTTCTTCGTCAGTTTTGGTCGCAGCGTCACCTAAAGCTCGATGCACTGCTATTCGCAATCTATCCGTCAATGTTTCATCTCCGTTGAAAATTTCACCATCGGATTCGGATTCACTGACTTCTGATGAAACTTCACTGTTTGAAACATCGTTCTCAATATCATCACAGTCAGTTTCTTCCTCTGTATCTGAACATGTATCACTTTCCTTCACGGTGAGTGCATCATAATTATTTTTTATATCCAACACCTAAAACAGAACATTATATATGAATTCATTATTCATTTCACAAGAACGACAATTCATCTGCAAAAATATTTCTCATGTAAAGTACTATCTTTTAATAATATTTTAATAATTACTGAATTTTTATCATTCGGCAATATTGTTGAAACTATAACGTTCTCGAGATTGTCTATATTTTTCTTGCATAAGTAAACAACTTACAGCCAATATTGGATAAACAGCAGATGAAGTCAAATATGGACAGATATGTGGAAATACGCAGCCAACTAATGAACGTAATAGATGATTGTTCCTGGACAAAAGAGATAACAAAAGATCCACTACTACTTCAACCCAGTGTGGTTCTTCCTCTTCTATGGCTACATTGTGTTCTTTGGAACGTTTAATAAATCTCTCGTAACAGCATTGAAGTTCATTAATCGACATAATTGCCACTTCAGGATCTGAAAATAACTGTAAGCCCATATGTAAATTCATTGTATGGAATATCGGTAGAGCTTCTGCATTCTTTGCAGTATTCTCCAATTTGTCGATCAAATCAATCACTCTTTTCCAAGAATCAAATGTTACATCATTCAATGGTGATCTTAATTGTATAGTATTAGATCTTAATTTCGAATCGATATCATGAACTAGTGCACTTAATAAATTTCGAACATCGTCCAATTTTGGTAATTTACAATCCAGTGCACGATAAAACGAATCCTTAAGTTGCGCTAAAAAAAAAAAATAACATAAATAAATTATTAAATCTCAGCATACAAAGAAACTTTACGTAAAGATGAACTTACGTGCCAAGTCTATTCCAACATTTGGCACTTCACATAAACCATAATTAAACAAAAATATCAATTCAGCAAGTCTCCAGTCCTGTTTTGAAAGTGTCTCCGGGTGTCCCATCAATCTAAATCAATGTAACATTGTGATAAGTTGTGAATTATAAAAGTTCTTTCCACACCAATGATTACGATAAATATTATCGCTTTATTACGTATCTCAAATATTATTATAACATCTATAATTTTTAGGTTTCTACCTTGTTAACAGTTGTGCCGCATAACTCCGCTCGGCATTTGTCCATAATTCTGATTTTATGTCACTTCTTTTCCTGGTTATCTTGATTTCTATAATATCTCTATATAACTGGCATAATTTCTGAACACCATCAAATTTCAGATTTGCCGTTATTACTTGTATTACTTTGGTACCTGTCTTCTTTTCTATCATTAAGTCACCAGGATGTAATATCAATCTCTTTAATATGTTCAGTTGTGTCTCCGTGTCAATATCTTTATCATTTATAATATATATCATCAGATGTAAAACTTCTTTGAATGCTATTAAAATCTCATCATTATTATTTTTACAATTAGAACATTTTTTCAACATGTGTTGCAAGAGATTTGGAGATAATAATAACGGAATTATAGTCTTATCCGTGATATCTTTGGAAAGTATCAATCGTAAAATTTCTATAGCAAGATATTCTTCACTCTTCGATGGTTTTACAAATTTCTGGTCAAAGATTCTCCAAAAATCTGCTACAAGTTCAGATGATATTAACTTCTCACAAAATAGCTTGACAACTGGATGATGATAAGAGACAATTCTAGGTAAGCTCTAAATAATAACAGAAATTAGATAATTATATAACAATATGAAACACACACGTGTGGTATACATGATCTTATTCAATCATTACTTAACACTGACATACCATTAGTAATTTGATGATATTTTCCATAGATTCTTTAGTAATAATATCTCTCACACCCAAGTGTTCTTTTAAAAACTTATGATCAAGCAGCGATGGATACTTGTCTCTAACAATAAGCAATATATAAAATGTATCCAAAGTTTGTTCAGACCATGGTTTGACAAATTGTTTTTCAATAATTGGCCAGACAACTTTCTTCATAGATTTATCAGAAAGATGTCGCACAATAAAGTCGCTAAGAAACATAACAGAGACGAATGACAAATAGCTGCGTTGTCTGCCAGCATTCAAAAGAGTTTCTACAACTTGTTGTTGAATTTCAATAGTATTCTGAGCTAATGACTCGGATCGCATCAATGCACCGCAAAGTAATATATGTCCCATATATATATCAGCATTTTCCTATAAAAAAGTATTTAAATAGTTTATTAAGTCAGACTTATAGAGAAAGAATATTTTTAATTATGAAGAATCATAGGAATTATGAGAATTATAAAAAAAAATCGTACGTTTTTTGGATTACTGCTAGCTGGATGCAATTGAGTATTCATTATAGACAAAAGTTTTTCTATTGGATTTTCATGATGCGTCAATTTTAGAAAGATCGTCAAAGTACTATAAAATCCTCTTCTTGCAAATACTGTTGATGATCCTAAGCTACGCACTAATCTGGTTAACGCATAATTTAAATCCCTATTACCATTTTGATTCTGCAAAGATAAATTAATGTCGCACATATTCATTAATTAGTAAACATTCAACGCATAAATTATAACCTTTCTCCTCCTCTTTTATATTATTAATTAATCAATATTTACTCTTGCAAATATAATATCAAAATATCAATAAATTACGTATCTGTGAAGGGAAGATTTTTTCATGTATCAGATAAGTAAACCCGTAATTTAATATTTTCTACTGAATTATATAATTATAAACTAATTAACTTAATCTGAAATTAAAATATAGATTTTCAAAAGATTGTATTCACAAATATATTAATTTAGATGTTAAATATAAATAATGTAGCAAAATTGTAGTCTCTACTCCTAAATAATTTCTTATGATAAATAATGTTGACAGCTTTAGATTTTTTTTTTTAATAATTAACTTATCGTATGCACGGAAGATTGTCTCACCATGCTTTGTTGATATAGATGATGCGATAATGCAACTCCAGCATTTATTCTTAATACATCATTACTATTTTTCAATTTATTGAAATTATCCAGTTGTGTAGGATTCATTTTATTAATTTCTCATTAATTGAACCTTCAGAATCAATGCACAAGCAAAAAAACCTTCGAATAACCGGACTGCTCGTTTCTGCTGCACGAGAAATGCGCTAGTTCTTTTCAGATGGACTGACTGAGTTTAAAAAGAAGGGAGCGATTGACCAAGTTGCAACTGGCCAGCCGTGATTTGGTGTTTTTCTAGTGTCGGCCAATCGGTGTATATTATATTGACCTGTGGTCAATCGGGTCCTATCCAAAGAAATTTACGCACGTTGAAGCGTGAAGAAGGTTGCGTTCAAAGCAAACACAACGGTTGTACAACGATTGAATAATTTGTCAACGTAATTGGTTAAAATTTAGAGATCAACCAGTGAAGATCCAATAATCAATGGCTGATCGCTTCTTCCACTGAACGCATCTAATGGTTGCGTTCAGAAAACACAAGCGCGATCAGTGAATCGTCGGTGCAAACGTGCTACGTTTACATGGCAACATTAATCCGATTTAGTAACAACCGTAGCTAGTGAACTCTTGCGTCTGATTGGTATATCCTTTTGGATCTGAAAATATACTCCAATTAAATGCAAGAGTTCACTAACTACGATAGTTACTTTTAACGTTTAACGTTTCCAAAGTTATAGATTATTTATTGTTCTTTACTGTTAGTCCGAATCTACAATAGGGTAGTAAGCTTTACGAAATTGACCAATCACAAACGAATGTCAGAAGAACAATCGATTGTGATTGGCCAATTTCTTATAGTTTCAGCATATATTAAACCCGTTCTAGGATCATTTATTCATCGCATGTCGGAAATGCAGCCGATGGTCTGGTAGTGAGAATTTATTTTTCGAGTACGAACGAGTTCTCCTCATTGGACCTCATCGAATTAAAATTTGTCCAATCAGAACCAAGATTTACTAAACTTTGGTTTAGTGAACTTTGCTCTGATTGGTTAAATGCTAATCCAATCCTAATCCATAGTGTGATACGGGCCTTACTTGAGGGACTTGGCTAAAAATATCCGGATGCTTTTCTTTAACCTCAATAATCAATAACTAGCCGAAAATTCCTGCAAAACATGTGACTTATTTTTTCAAACTATCTTTGCTCGTAATTTCTGTTCTACGTTTTACGGCGTTTTATTGATCGTTCAGATTGAAAGAAAGACAAGCTTTACAAAGTATATTCAATCGATCACGAGTGCCATTTTGTGCATATATTCTCTTTATCTCTACGTATGCTACATGTATACTTGATATGCTATTTCTCGCTTCTGATGTCATCAAATAAGGAGTAAACTAAAGCGAGGACATGGCAGCCTTAACTATTGCAAATTTTGTAAAATGGTACTTTAATATTTCACATGACTTTCAGTTTAATCCATTCTATCTGCACACAGCAGTTCCGTCAGAAAACTTTCTGAACACTATATAAAGATGAAACAAATAACTAAAGGAGAACAATCAGAATGACCATATTAACTTTATTTTGCATGCATGCGCATATATACTTTTTTGTTTCTGGACATCAAGCCAGTCTCATAAACTATCATTACGGAAACGTAATAATCACTGTTGAGCGTCACTCTGCAGATACTCTCTTTATTCTCATTAAGGCCACATTCGAAAACGTCCTTTTCGAGGAAAATTTTACTTAGTGGCCTCCGAATTATGAAAAAGAGACTGACAGAAAACGCTCGTTAAGTTTCGGAACAACCACCGAAAAATTTTCCTCTAAAAGAATGTTTTGGAATTCTAAAAGAATGTTTTAGAATGTAGCCTAAAGATATAATTCTTACGAATATTCACAAATATACCGCACTCTGCTCGCAAACTATATACATTAAGGACTACTATTTCATTAGTTTCAGACTGTATGCTATTTAAGTTTCACTCTTGCAATTGTTTATGCAATTGTCAGTGTAATGTGTATTTAATACCATGTAACTCAGTATGTAATTTATAAATTGTATTTCTATATTTATTATAATTGGACTAAGCCTAATACAGTGCACAAATGAGACAAACAGCTACTTTATTCAGGAAATAGTATCATATACAAGCATTGTTTTACATTATATTTATTACTATATATTTCAAGTTTTTGTTTATTTCTTACTCTCACGATGTGCCATCTAATTCAATTCTTCGACATAATTGTTAGCGCATAATTAATTCATTGTATAATATTAATGTATAATAATAATAATCGTCGCATTCCTTTTTTTTGTGTTGTTCTCAATGGTTTCGGAAATTTGTTAAACCCGCATGTTATATTTCACAAGTTTTTATAATCGAAAAACGATTGTTAAGTAATATCAGACAATTATTTGCTATTACTATAATAAACGTA